CTCTGATGCCAGGTTTCGATAGAATTCACCTCGGCTGACGATTTGGCTGGATTTTGTCCCCTGAGTAATTTGACGCCCTGAGCACGACTGTCACATCCGTTTGCCTCGAGAACTTCTGGTGCCAAAGTAATTGAGTCCCTGGTGTCATACTACCTCCAAGAGACAACATTTTGCTCAGACTGACTCCTAAAGAGAAATTTTAGTAAAAGTTTGAAATTTAATTTTTGAAAAGTTGGGCTGTAAAGGGTGAATATTCGAATGAAAAAGGAAGTTCGAACTTCTTTGGTGGTTTTACATGCCCTGAGCAACTTTCCCGTGACGAAATCCCATTTCAATGGCAAAAATCAGGGACCAGTTGCTGAAATCCGTTAAGTACTTCCAGAGGAAGAACTTCGCCTCTATAATGAACCTTTCCTGAAGGGTGCCTTTTGGCAGTCTTTGCCCACCCCGTTTGTCTGTGAGAATGCCTGCGAAAATTGTCATTCACGAGAATCGTACCTGCTTCGTTAAGTGATTGCCATCTGCCTTTTCAAACAACGATGCAAGACCGCTCATCACGTCTGTTGCGCAGACCCGTCAAAGCGGTTACGGTATGTAGCAGGTGGTTGCCATCTGAAGACACCCGTATCCGTTATACGGGCGCCCACGTTGTTGCACCCGAATGCCAGAATTAATTACCGTCATAAAGTATTTGATGGTTCTCTCTGGGTGAGAGAGACGCCGGCGCTCTCAGAAAGGACTATAAGGTTAGGGTCAAATTAGCTAGCGTGTCAGTTAATTAATTGAATTGCAGAATGCCCCGTTGGTAGCTACAAGAGCGAACGAGGAAATGCGTCTTGCCAGAAGTGTCCATTGAACTCGGAAGCAACCAGATCGGGTAGTTTGCATTGTACCTGCCGACCAGGTCATTTCCGCGCCGAAAACGAGTCCGCTGATAAGCCATGCACACGTGAGTGATGTCTGAATTTTGTTTGATTGTTAGGTTCTCCTCTTTTGCTTTTTTCTTTTCTCGAAATGTGTAATTCAGAAGGACCAAACCATCCGTCTCGCCTACATGTTCGTGATGTCGATCAGTCGTCAGCAGTTCTTGAATGGGACGAGCCGTCATCTTTGGGTGGCCGACGGGTAGGTTTTCAAGGACTTGAAGACCTTGTTCTTTCACGTGGGGGGGACTGAAGGCGCGGTTTGTATGCAGAGGGTCACTGAGTGAGCTGTAAGGCTTCAAGAGAATTTCTTCTGACCTTTCGGGAATACTCCCTATCGCCCATCGTCTCAGACAGAGTCCGGTGCAAAATGATTCCGGAACGAGGAAGGCTTGTCTGGACCGGCAGGAGCTGATACAGGAATTGGACCCCCGGGCTCACGTCCTCACGCATGACGAACCTACTTCAAAAAATTGTACCTCGGTTCCACTTCAAAAACCGGGAAGAAGTGGTGTGCGGTCGGCAAGGGGTCAGAGCAGGAAGACATACATCCTGTGGGAGGGGCGTACGCCGATGTGGGTGGAGCAGGAGTAGAACATCAGTATTTCCGTTCCATAACGACCTGCAGACCGGCTAAAACTAGTGAAAGTTTGCAGTAGAGTTGGGGAGATGAGTCTGAAGCGGGCGGGGCGTGCATCGGGGTGGGCGTGGCCGGGATAAGAGTTTTCGAGTTGGTTTCAGAGAGGACGTGCGCATAGTAAGCGGTTCCGCATTTATTGCTTCGGAAAATCCGAGTGATTTCAGGAAGTTTGGTACGAGTGGGAATGTTCGAGAGGCGACTTGCTCGAACATAATCGCAACACCAGCAGATAAAAAGCTCATGTCGAGAACCTTGAGATTGTCAGGACTGAAACCGGACACGGAGTACTCGTTCAATATTTTCGCCAAGAATAGCGTGAGTACAGTATCTTTCGATATCTCTGGTACGGTAGCCCTCGTTATGAGTCACGATGATTGATGGGTTTTGGAAGAAGTACTAGTATTGTGTTTAGGTGTCCAAGTTCACAGACGCACCGGCTTATCGAGTAATAGATCTCCGAACGGCACCGTTAACGCGCTACGTTGTAAGTGGTCTTCGGGTAGAGAGCGAACAAAAAGATGGAATAACCCTGGCATGGCTCTCACCAGCCGTCTCTAAAAAGGTTAAATATGAGGTGAGTAAGGAGAAGAGTAGTGTTTTTGGCCGACGAGCGCTCGTTTCGCGGATGCCTAGCAATTTGGCTAATTTAGATTGAAATGGAATCCAAGATTGGCAAGGCGGTGGTTACACTCACGGAGCATACGTATCACACATCGCTCAATATGAGTCCGGGGATCCCATATCGTTTCAGGGTGAGTTTGTCCCTGGTTGGCTTTTCGAGTTACATTTTCAGCTCCTGATCTATATCCCATTGATTCTAGGTTCGCGTTAATGTGGATGGCTGGGGAGAATGGAGTGATCCGCTATGGTACGAGATCGGTCGCGGAATTGTGAGCTTTACTCCACTTCATTGCTTCTAAAGTCTTTAAAGGTTTCACTGTAGCTTTGAGCACAATCGATTCGACTAAGTCGGCCAATTAGACTTAGCTAACAGTTGAGCGCGCGTTTGCGGCGCGTCTGCCATTATGTTCAACTGTCGCGCTTGTATCCGACTCTACTCCGATATGGGCAAATCAGCTCTAGAGTGGCTTTATACGAAACTGGTATGGCTGAGTAATCATCCAGATTCTGAGTATATAATCGTCTGGGCTGTACGAATTTCCTGACAGATGGGCGCACGTATGCGGTGCGGTTAGTTAGTGGTCGGTCTCATACACAGGTCATTATATCGGCTTGGGACTGAGTTCTAGGGCTTCAACACAGATATAGATCTACTAATTGGGCTGGATGTAATGTGCGCAATTGTTTAGACTGCACGCATTAGCTGACGGTTGAACGGCGCGGGTTCGCGGCGCGGTTAGTTCGCCTGAGGATCTGAAATCAGGCCACGTCGTACGTTGGGGAATCCCCAGCGGGGCGGGTCATATTTGGTCGCTGGGGGAGGGGCTCGTAACACGGATGTCAGTGGGGGTCGTATTTGCTTTTGAGAGAAAATCGCGGCCTTGGGGCGTTGGGAAGAATTTTTTCCTGGTTGTTGAGTATCGGGTTTTTCACATGTGCTGTACACACGTCCCTCCACGCTCCTCTCGGCAGCAAAATCCTGGGGGAACCTAGGAAATTTCGGGGAGTTTCGGGGATCGTATCAGTGGAACATGAAGGGGAAGTGGGAGAGGAGAGAGGAGTCAGCTTTTCCTAAAGTTTAGTTTTTCCTAAAATTTACCCAGCGGTAGGACATGCCCTGTCTGGAATGCGCGCTTGAATCATTCTCGAAGACTTAGCTTCGTAGTTCCAACACGGATTGGTTCCACCAGTTGGACTAGATATAGTGTAAATGATCATTCAGACCGCATGCACTATCTGACAAATGAGCGCGCGTTCGCGGCGCGGTTTGGTCCACCCAATGACCTGTCTATAAGGACGCCGCGCGCCACGGCCTCCAACTCATATGCTGCGGTCACGGCTTTTTTGAAAGATGACCAAACTGTGCACATGTAGTCAGATATTCTGTTGAGGTCATTTAAACTTTAATTGTTGCAGGTCCAACAACATCAGGGACCTGAAACGACGCCATTGGGCTCGCTACCAGGATGGGTGGTGTTGATGGCGATGGTGCTATTTGTCTTACTCCTCGGCTCCTTAGTTATTCTCTGTCGTCGCAAATCGCATAATCGGAAGCAAATGAGTGATTTGGACGTGCTAGATACCTATAAACAAGGTGAGCGACTTAAGTAGTAGTCTAGACTCTTTCATGAATTTATTAGCACTGGGATAATGGGCGTGTTGTGATGCTTCCTGGAATTCACGGGTGTGGGAAAATGGGGATGAGCGGAATTTTGAGTTTCGATGAGTTTCAGGTTTTCCCTTTTGGTTGTTTCCCATTTGTTTTCCGCTCATCCCAAATGGGGAAGGACGTCCATGTTGAGCTTGTGCTGCTATTTTTCGCTTTCGTATTGTGTTGACCCGTGCTATGGTTTTTTACAGACACGATGACACCCGACTACAGTTCCGGTAATCGTCAATTCACGGACGCATTCCGGTCTGCCGGAAAACGTAAGTGACGCTTCCTGTGTTAGAAAAGATCCGTCCATCCCCCTTGCTTGGAATGGCTAGTGTTCTGTGTGATATGCATCTCTCGATTTTCCCTGCGGACGTTTGATGCTACAGTAAGACAATTATTTGATTTCAGTGAATGCACCACTTATACCGTCCTACGGAGGAAGCTCTGTCTCTCAACCACCACCTTATTACGGTAGTGGTGGAGCTGCAGCCACTGCATATAAGCCCTACGTCGATCCGACTGCTTACGAGGATCCGAATCAGGTAATTTACTCACTTCATAAAGGTTACGGTATGGGGCGAAAAAAAATTGTTCGAGAGGGGTTGCACATAAAATGGGAAACTTGCAAAAGACTAATAAACGCAAAAAAATTTTTTTGGGAAAAATTGACTTGGCTTGGAAAAGCTCTTGTCAAGATCGGATGTGATCTCCATCGACTCCCACCAACTAAGTGCCTTTCGCATTCCGTTGACCCCTGAGCAGGAACGTCCTGCCTTTCTATGATACTGCCACCAATTATTATTTTTAAGGCTCTGGTCGAGTTCACGTTCGACATCGATCCTGCAGCCGTGTTTATCACGGAAGTGATTGGTGGAGGAGAATTTGGCGATGTGTGCAAAGGAGGCCTCAAGAGAAACATGGTCGGAGGAGGAATCGCCAACAGCATATTTGACAACGAGGTAAGATCTGCTAGATTTCTTCCCTGAGCTACATCCGGTCGCCCGAATAAACTAATTTCGAAATTTCCTCCTTCCAGATTGACGTGGTCGCCATAAAGACCTTAAAACCAGGCAGCAGCCCCAAAGCAAAAGCCGATTTTCTGTTGGAAGCGTCAATTATGGGACAGTTTTCCCATCCGAATGTGATTCGCTTAATTGGAGTGGTTACTCGTTCAGAACCTGCAATGATCGGTAGGTCTATCTTGTTGAACGGCACAGTCCGCGCTGATCGTGTGGGCGGAGTCAGGCACACCGCTGTGTTTTCCTGACTGGTGCTACTTCCTCATCTCCTTCGTAGAAAGTGAGTGGAGGGTGCGCCAACGAACATGTTACAATGGTACGTCTGACCCAGCCCATGCGATCAGTACGGGATTTGGGTTTTGTGCGTGTACATGTCTACGGCAAGGGTGTTCGATTGTGAGTCATGTGCCATGGATGCGCGCGGTCGCGATGCGGTTAGTAAACTGTGAACATTGTTGACAATATTTCTTAATAGACAAAGGAGGAAAGACGATAGATGTTGGGGCTGCCCACTCGCCAACCGCGTCGCGACCGCACGCGTCCTCCTTGCCGCCCCCTTCCACCTGCTTTTCACAAAAGTGATACCTTTATCAATTTTCAGAGATGTTTTGCTGAATGCTGAAGTTCTCTCTTTTTAGTGACAAGAATTCATGTCGAAATGGCTCTTTGGACCATTTACTTCGTGGAAAAGACGCCCGTGGTGGCGTGGTGAAGAACTGAGTTGGCCGCGTGTTGTCGATATGCTGAGGGGAATAGCGTCTGGTATGAAGTACTTGACAGACAAGGGATATGTGCACAGGGTGAGTTCCTTGCAAACTTTCATCTGTAAGCCGTGTGGCTGAAATAAGGATGTTGTGTAGGCACTCATAGCAGGGCAGGCCACCCCTTGTCTTTGGTCCCCTTTCTGTCTGTAGAAAGTTGCTCGATGAGTCTTGGAATGAGAACGCAGGACCAGCAACAGAAGGGACGCGGACGTCGTTTACTGTCGCCCCAACTTCTTATATCGCCGCTGATGAATTTAAAAAATTTAATTCCCATCTTATTCTGCTCCTTCAGGAATCTGGGCCGCACGTAAATCGTGAGCTTAGCTAAGACTCAGAGGCTCACTTGTAAAATTGCCGACTTTGGACTGTCACGTGGTGTTGACGACTCTGCTGAACAGGAATACACCACCAATGGCGGAAAGGTGGGTGCAGTCGACTAAACTTTGTGCACCGAGAAATTGGTGCCAAATACGATTTTAGAGGTTTACGAGCCTTGTTTTCAGATCCCGGTCCGCTGGACGTCACCCGAAGCCATTACCCATAGGAAATTCACGGCGGCATCTGATGTGTGGAGCTTTGGTGTGCTTGTCTGGGAAGTGTGCTCGTTCGGAGAACGGCCATATTGGGATTGGACAAACCAGAAGGTAAGCTGTGGAGCTCTCGGGTCTTCTTTGAGCAATGGATAATGTTTCCCCTTCAGGTGATTAGCGAGATTATGCTCGGCTATCGTCTGCCGCCCCAATGGACTGTCCAGTAGCGCTGCACCGTTTACTGATGCTGTGGTGCCTGGCGACTTGAATCGTTCATGAACTGAACCCACCATTTGCGCGGATCTTGGCAATCCTGGAGAAAATACGCCAGGAATCCTGATTTGATCTACGTGGATACCACTGCGTTCACCACCGGTCGCCTGGCGACTTCAACAGTGAAGTGAGTGGCCTTTATCGATTGATATTGATTAGGATTCAGAACTTCGAGCGGTCGAACTTATGGTCTTACTTTAGTGTCAATGGCAACACGTTCTGTCAACCGACGAGCTCACCAGGTGGTCCAATGATTCCCAACATTCATCCATCATCGCTACCTACGTTAGCGGATTTCCTGCGATCTCTAAATTTGAGCCATTATACGGAAAAACTCACCAAGGAGGGCATTTTCACAGTGACAGATCTTGCACGGCGAAGTCATCTGGATATGTTGGCTATCGGTGAGTTCTTCACTTTTGAATGGTTACATAAACTTGACCTTGGGAATTTCACGTAGAGTGTCTTTAAGTTCGTTCCAATTTCCCAGTTAGCCATTGGGTTTTTTGATTTTATGTAACGGTACTGTTTTGTGGCTAATGGTGGTGTTGATTTCGTAGTGGGACAATGTGAGCACCGGCTTTCTCCCTTGAATTGCACAGCTTATAAAGCGATCGATTCAAACGTTGGCGTTCTGGGCGGAGACAGTCTAACTGCTGTGTCCTGTCTTATGGTTAGTGGGCGGCGGTGCTGCACCTTTACCAGAGAAAGTGGCCTCCTCAGTATGGGAAGGGTCAAGGTTTGTGCGGTCAAAGCAGCCCCGGCGAGGGCCACGTCGCAACCGCGTTGAGTCGGAAACCTCCGCCCATTTGTGCGCATGACAGTTATAGCGTTTTCTGTGTGCCTTTCAGTTAGTTGCTATATACTGCCTAATCGATGCAGACCCTCCTAGGGCCGGTCAGATAGACCCTGCGTTGGCTCATCGCAACCGCGTCGCGTCTGGAAAATCCCCGCCTAATTCGCGCATACCGGTTTTCGCGTAGTGTGTCTTTAAGTTCGTTCCTATGCTCCACTTAGTCGATGCTTACCCTTCCAAGCTGGTAAAGTAGGCCCGCTGTTGGGTCAAATACTGCCAATGCTAGGGATTCCTCAACATATTCTATACGCGGACCGACTGTGTTCGAAAATCCGCCCCCCTGGTAGTCGGACCGCGTCGCAACCGCACCGCGCTCTTCAACTACTCACAGCTACCCAGCATTGATATTTTTTCGATTTCGGGCGGTGGTATGGCATAAGTTTGCAGTCCTATACGAAATACATCTCTATTTGAGACCCGAAAAGGAGTCAATCCACTCCCATTGAGGCTTTCTAACTAGGCTGCGGACCTCTGCTACACTCTGTTCTTTTTCATCCGGGAAAGCCCTACTATCCCGCTCCGCGGTTTTTGGAGGCCAAAATTTTTAGCGCTTCTGTTTGTCAAATGTATGAACATTTTCATTGTTGTAGGTTTAATATCGGAAGAATTCCAACGAATTCGTAGCGCCTTGTCACAACTGCAAGACGCTCGCGGTATGTCACGAGCAGCTGAGGTGACGACGACGACGTTGCCGTTACGATCGGCAACGATTCGGCCGTCGCGACATGACGACGGATTCTTCGTCTAAATGTATTGCCCATAGTACTGCCTGGTTCAGTTGAATTTGTACAATGTTTCCGATGAGTCTTAATTCCCGATGTGCAGGTATTTCCTTCATTATTCGTCGTGCGTTCCTGTCCTATGATCCCGGCTGATGTATTCTAAATTTTTCTATGTTTTTCTTTTGCGTTGATGACGCAGTCCATGGCTTTAACTAGGGGGTTTTTCATTTATTTGAAGCTCGTTTATTGACAGCTTGCATTGCAATTTGGTTCACTTCACACAGTATTTGTATAAGAACTGCATTTTCTTGTTGAAGCATTTTGAACAGCGAAATCTCGTCGTTTGCGCAGATTACAGATATCTTGTTGCGAGGCAGTAATACATTGGAGATGTGTCTCACTTGGGATCGGACAGACTAGTGCACAGAGAAACCAGAGTTGAAGGCGACAGGAGACGGTCAAGAAGGTCCATCTTGTCTCGTGTTTTCGGTGATTCTTCTTAGATCTGCAAAGATCCCACTGGGAATATAATCGAAAAACAGCTAAAGATTGAGACGGGTTTCCTCGCGCTCTGCTCGTAAAGACTCTCCCATTCTCTGGTCTCAAAACCTGTCCGAGCTCTATTTAGAATTCGTGCTGCCCTTTATGTTGGGACAAAACTGCGCTGCCTGGCGACGAGGTACTGTAAGCGGCGTTATTCTCAAATTGTTGTCATGTTGTTACGGCTAATCTGGGCTAACAAATGTTCGTTGCTGAATCTACTGGTCGTCTATTTTTTTCTCGTCTTGTTGTTATGGTCCATTAGGGGACAAGCTTGCTTTCATTTTCTACGGCATGAATAAGTCCCCCCCCCCTACCCCTTCAATGTAAATTCTCATTTGATGTGTATTGCTCAAATTAAGTCGATATGTAGATGAAATACTGACGAGTGCCTCCTTAGTACTGATCGTTCGGCTTTTGTCTCTCCTCTAATCAATCAAATTTGCTCTTCAGAGGCTGAAGCTTCTGAAGTAGGTGAAGCCAACAGCGACCGTCGAGCTGGTCGCTCTAGGCCAAATATGCCCATTTTCGCAATGTGTTCAGCCCTCACTGTCTTGTTCTGTGATAGATTGTCGAATTTGGAAATGTGGACGAGTTGTCCGGTGGCAGTAGTTCGAATTAGCGCAACCACTGGACGTCTCGACCATGTGACCTCTGCCATGCCGAGGTTTGCTATTCTCCCAGAGCCTTTTTTGTTCATATTAAAAAAAGATGCATATATGTTGTGAATATTATTATCGTTTTTGCATTTGTCGTTAATAAACGTCTTTATAATTTTGTGAACCACATTTTTGTATTTTGAAAGCAGACCGAGAGGGTAAAGAACACATTTAGCTTGTCGAATAGGCCGACCAGGAGAACTGGGCGGAGACCTGCAATCGTTGCGCACTTTTTCATTGGTGCGCCGCTATTTCTGGTGTAATGTGGGGTAGAGTTACGCCAGTGAGGAAGGCTCAATGGTTGTGAATGCCGCCCTCTTTTGCGCCTATTTGGTTATCGCGGAATGGGCCTTCAAGCGATTGTACACCCAAGTACGAACACAGACTCGTTGCTCTCCATTTCGTCCACATCCAAACCGTCCACTGATCACCGCCCACCAAGCTTTTATGACGTCACTTTTACGCGTCGCGTGCGTGCGCCTGTGCGGTACTTACCGCGGACAGAATGACGCTGCAGTTGTAAAATTTGCGGTCCCTGGTTATAAACGGTGTTAAAGACCGCGCTCATTAATGCCAAATAGTAGATGATGCGCTAGTTTGTGCGGAAGGGAGGGGGTGGTGAGGGGGCATTTTTTGTATATTCATTGCTTCGCCCTGGTTCCGGTTTAACTAAATTGCATGTGGTAAACTTTTTGTGAAACTCTTGTGAAGCTGAAGTAAGATCGTCTAGCCACTATCCCGTGTCAACTCGAGAAACGGCTATCTAAATGGGTCGACACATCAATGAGCAAAAAATGCCCCCCCCCGTCAACAGTGATGACTTTAGTTTGGAGCTTAGATCTCTGTTTCTTCGAGTTCGTTGATTGATAAAAGCGCTGAACCGCTCAGCTCTGGCTAATCCTATTCCGAAACGCGCCACACCTCATAGAGCGCAATTGGGTTTGGTGGGTGCACCAAATGGTACTCAGCAGAACTCGTGCAGGTCAGATTGCCAAGACCTGTAAAAAACTGTTTCTAAATCAGCTGACCTGTATTTCCTTATAGCTTCATAAGAGTTTACAATTATAATTCAAGTTAGGCCTTCTGGTAAACATGAACTAGTGGATGTGGCAAATGTTCCTTTCCAGCCTCCCCCCCCCTCCAGGCCGAACAGCGATCCTCTTTGATCCATAACAGGGATGTGGTGGCTTCCGTGATGGTCTCTCTATCTTACCGAAGCAATCCCTTAATGGGACCTAGCCAGTGTGGAATTCAGTGGTTTCATCTTCCCGTAGGCATCACCCTACCGCCCACCCCCTCCTCATTAATGTGAGGGTTGAAATGAGCTGCGCGAAAATCGCAGGCGAAAATCTATGGAGCTAGGACTATGGCGACTAAAAGTCCGCCACTGCTGCTACATAGCTGTTATTTGTTTGCTGTACTGGGTGTTGGTCAGGGTGGTAGGGGCGGGAGCGGAATGGTTTGGACTGACACATTGAAGCTTCCGCAACGAACAGGGATGTGTGTCAGTACAGAAACTCGTTAATATAGGGGGCTGCAAGAGGCGTTCTGGTGATAATATAGGGGGTTGGCTGCTTATTCCGTGGTTTTTCGCTTAAGCTATTTCGTCTGGACTTTCGCTGCTTGAGCCGTCACCTATCTTTTTGCGCTCAGATATAGGCCTTATGTCCGGGAGCTAACACATTTGTCAAGATAGGCACTGAAAAGCTCGTTGAAAATACATAGAAAAAGCCATACAGTTTAAGGAGCTTCTGAAAAGTGGGCGGAGTCGCACAGGGCCGACGAGTAGTCGCAGGCTAAACAGGTACAAGCCGTTTTGTGCTGAACAGTTCGCGGTGCGCTATGGCACAGCTTCCAGTTTTACGGGCGCGCAAAACCCTTTCCCACCGCAAAACGCCCGAAGCTGCAACGATCAGTTTGAAACGGACTGGTGCCGCGCCAAAACCCACCCCGCGCTGTCAGAGCTCGACTGAATCCAGTGGTGCTCAACTGTATTATAACGTGAGACAGCCAAGCCTACTAACTACTTAATTGTAAGAAAAGGGAGATCATAGAAAGCTACAGAAGCGGAACTTGCAAAGTGAAACAGGGAATAGGAGGTAATGCCGTTGAAAAAGTGGTCGTGTGTGGGTATGTGGCAAGAGAATCGTAAGAGACGCTAATGGGTGTCGCGTGCGACGTCGCATCCGCTAATGACGACGATTTTAGGTGGTATTAATCGAGAATAGACAACGTATGACCGAAAAAAAAAAGCAACAAAACAACAAACATCCTTGTCTACATGAAAGCCGATGCTCCAGTCGAAAGGGTAGTGCAGAGTAAGGATACTTGGCGCCCATTAGCGTGCGCGACGAAGCAGCAATTTACGATTCTGTTGCCCGTCTCCCGTCGTGGCTATCTGGGGAGCGGGGGGAGGACGGGCCAGAGAACGGTGAAATTGGCAGCTCCGCCGCGCGCGGCGATGGGCGCGACGTTTTCTTAATCGTGTAACCTGTCGATTGGAGTACCGGAATTCATGTAGAGCCCATCATCGTAGACAATCATAGCTATTTTTTTGCTTCGAGTTTCCTGTTGTCATCTCACCATCTACTACCTGGAACCATCGTCATTTGCGGGCGCGACGTCGCACGCGACGGCCACCAGCGCGGCTAATTACGATTTTCTTTTGTCAGCATACCCGGAGTAGCTATGGAGTGGTGTGCAGTAGCTATCCCTATGTTATAGGAGATAAACCTGGTCGCCTGCGAAAGATTTCAAGAGACCACTTGGGGCCAATTACTGGTTCATCCAATAACCACAAAGCAAGATTAAAATGTTTATTTTTTAAATAAATTCACGTCAATTATTCCGAAGTAAAGCGTGACAGAGACGATCATAAAGTGCGATTTTTCAGAGCTCGGCGACGTTTTCGTTCTTCGTTGACGAAGTCGTTGATTGTAATGATTTTTGCAATGGTTTGCAACGTATATACCATATGACAAGGTGAATACCGTAGAAAATTGACACCAAAGCGATAATCACATTGAGTAAAGTGAGATTCAAGGTTTTGTTACGGTAACCGAGAGCGATACGCTTTACGCATGAATGTCGATGCATTTCGTGAGGTCTGAATGACAGATGAATCGTTTGGGCAAAAAAAGGCAGGTCTAACCTATTCTAAGCAATGTTCACCACCGACTATGGACACCCAGCTGATAGTGTTCCCTAAAAATTCCCCAGTGAATAATTAGGGAGCAGTCTGGATCATATGCATCCTCGATGGTGCGCATATCTCCGGCAAAGGCGATTGTCACAAAGGAGACGTTGCTTACTCTATCAAATGAAATGGATTTTCGGACTGCTTGCACCTTTTGGGGGAGGAATCTGAGTTTCAAGGCACATTTCACAATAATCGACTGGGCGGGCACTCATAATCGTTGCGACTTCCTCAATAATGCGCCCTCCGCTTCACGGGGCCCTCACAAGTAAGCTACACGCAATCATTGCCAGTCGCCGCCCACTTCTTCGATCAACGCGGAATGCCTCTTCAAAAAAAGTCAACGTTCTAAGGTTTT